AGAATGATGATGAGGAGGGTGATGAAGAGGATTATGAAGTAGGAGGCAATGTTGAAGAAGATAATGAAGCTTTTTTAACATTTGCTGATGATGATGATTCCCAAGAAGAGTAGATTAAATTCATATTTGATCTTTTAAAAAAAGATTGTAATATTTGAATTATGAGATATATGGATGTTACTTAGTCGAACTTATATATGTTATGGTTGTCTTTTATTATTATGATAGTTTGTCTTTCATTTTTAATAATATTTCATATTCATGCTTATTATTTTATATTTTTTATATAGCTTTTAACGATAATCATCCCTGAAACAGAAGCTCAAGTTGGAATTTTGCCATGTTAGATATGATTTACTATATTGTTTTCATGAGCATATCGTCTAATTTAAGATGCTTATGCTCTGCAACTAACACGAGGATGCTATCAAATTAAAAAAAAAATTCTTGTGGAGGAAGCTTTAGTGCTCGCAATGCCTATTCGATCTACAAACATAACAAAAAATTCAAGTAACAAAGCATTTGATTGTTAATCATAAGTTTTGTCGTGACTTAATTCTAACAAAAGCTAACTAACCTCATCATAAAATTTGAAAAGTGGTTAGAACGATTACAATTAACTTAAGTCAGATAATGAATTATCATCCGTGTTAGCTTTAATCTAAGGGGCTGTTTGGCAACAAGATTTGAGAAGGATTTTTGCCTAAATCTTACCTAATAACAAATATGACAACTTTAAATCTTACAAAGTCTTAAATCCGGTTTCTAATACATTTTGTGTTAAATCCAGTATTTATTAAATTCTAGAGTTCAGTGGATTTATGTGTGCAAAAGCGAGAAAAATCATGGGTTGCCTTTGCGTCGGAAGCTCCGGTTCAGTTTCTTCTATTACTGGTTGAGGGCTCAAAGAAGCAAGGTGACTAAGAGGAGGTGAATTTTTTTCTTTAAATAATTAATATTCATATTAAAACCCACCGAGGCTTAGGGTGATTGGTGAGCAAGCACAGTTGGTAACCCCCATCCCAGGTTCAGACCCCCTCTACTACGGCCTCACCTCTTCAGTGGGACAAAGTAAGTGTGGGCCCGATGTTGGTTAGTGATTAGTTACGTCGCCAAGCACTCCATTTAGAGTGGCAGTGGGTAAATACCCCTGTTCCAAAAATTCCACAAAAAATATATTCATATTAAAAATTGTTTAGATCAGAGATCAAGCTTACTTAAAATAAGCAAATCTCGAAAACTAGTAATCAAATCAATTGCTGTTATTTCTTAGTAGCGCAGTTCCTAAAAATTCTGGAATTGAAATATCCAAACTTTGATAATAATGCAAACTGGCTTCCTCTCCGTTTCTGTTTTCTTTCTGCCAATAAATTCTTTGATATTCGTTGACAAGAAGTATTAAAACTATAATACTTGAGAAAGAAAAAACTGCAAAAGACTGTTTTAGTGTTTTAGCATGCTTGTAGCTCTCTATTTCAGAAGGCAGGTGTCTTGGCTCCACACTGCCATAACATGAGCAATAAGAACTGGATAATTGCAGTTTGTGCAACGATTCTTGTGATCCTGCTGCATTCACTTTTGTTTTTCAATGTTTCATGTAAAAACTATATGTGAACATCATTACCTGTATACATTAATAGTCTATCAAGCAGATCATTATGAATGACTAGCATTGCCGATGAAATTAATCCTATTGGCCCAAGATTCAGGCTTCGTTTGGAACGGCTTTCTTACTACTTCTTAAAGTAACTTTCTATTACAAAATTTTCAATTTTAAGAAGCAGTAAAAAAACAGTTCCAAACGAAGCCTCAATAAACCTCAAAAGCCTGACATTCAAATCCCAAATTCCAACTTTATTGAAGGACTGAAAACTAATGAAATATCTAACTGTGATGCTAGTTAGTCACAAATAAAAGCATGGAAAGCAGAATTATGAGAAACAAAAGATTTAGGGAGATGAGAACTTAATGATAACAAATGTGCCTGCCGTTATTTGTGATTACTCTGTCTAATTTACTGATTAGATCTTGTTGCTTGCAGCCGTGTTTGTGGCAACTCCCATGGTTTGATTCGGAAGTATGGACTTATGTGTTGCAGGCAATGTTTCCGTAACAATGCTAAAGAAATTGGCTTTATCAAGGTTAAATTTCTTCTCAAACAGAGATATTGAGATCTTTTCCTTTATTCTATTAAAGCCTTTTGTCTTAGCAGCCTTATTTCTTGCAAATAAATTTCTCATCCTCAAATTTTACATGCAGGCATCAGCTTTCGGTGAATATTTACTAACATTGTTTCATTGTTCAAACAAATTTGTTTATAAATTATAACCTTTGCTATTAAATAATCTTAAAGATCTTCTTATGCTTCATTTGGGACGGCTTTCTTACTGTTTCTTAAAGTCACTTTCTCACTCTCTCACCATAGTATCAAATAAAAAAAATGCATATCTCACTTTCTAGATCTCCTATCTCTCACTCTTTCTCTCACTATCTCACTTCATCTCTCTCTCTATTCATAATTCACCTCTTTCTCTCTCACAATGGTGTGTGTGAGAGAGAGGGAGAGAGAAAGTGGCTTTAAGAAGCAGTAAGAAAGCTGTCTCAAATGAAATCTTAACCTCATTGATATACATTGATCATAGATCATAGAATAAGTTTTTCCTCCATACTATAATTAGTGTTTTTCTTCTTTGCTCAAGAGCTTGCTGACTGTTATTTCTTACTGTTTGCAGTACCGGTAATTGTTATGGATTGAAAGTATGAAAGCTGGTCTTCTAAGAAGAGCTATGTAGGCCTGTAACCTGTTGATGGCATTTCATTTTCTACTATGGCAATTCTGAATTATGTTCACATTAGACTGAACCTAGTAATGTGGTATTTATTTTAAAACTTAATTTTATTACTGAATGTGTCTGCTTCATGACTTTATAGTTGTGGAATGTCTCAAATTGCTTTCTTTATTTTGATTTATATATTTAAAATTCGCGCACCTTAATTATAATGAGATTTTTATTGGCGAAGTTATTAACTAATCATTTTATAAAGTTTGGTTGTATTCTTTATTAATTTATGTGAAAACTTATGATGCACCTATATTTCTCCTTGAAGAGGCGTATGGTATATGACACGGGTTCGACAGAGCATGTGTCTGATACTCCTTTGACACGTGTTAGATACGCAAATGACATGCATGTCTTAAATATTTTATGGATTTTTTTAAATATGATTTCTTATATTGGAATTTTTTATTTATTTAAAATATAAAAATTAAATTTGTTATTTTCTATTCACGCCAAATCAATCGCTCGCACTCAATACCACGTTTATTGAATATTTCATATTTTTCTCTTTGGCGGGTCGTGACTTTGGTTTTACAATAATGTTCGATATCATCTTAGTATTGACATCTGACGTTATTATAACATTATCTTGACATTGATGTTAGGCAATAGCAATTTTTACTCCTAAAACTTGACCGCTCATCTTTGTCTGACATCTTAAAATCGGCCATTAATGACCTCTCAACAATGACAATGGACTCCCTTTTAATATTTCCTCCTGATATATGCTGCATAACATCTATGCCCATTACATCGTGACATCGACATTTGACTCTCGACAGCCTAATATTAATTATTTCAAGCATAAATTTTAGTTAAATGATATAGTATTTTAAAATTATGTTTACTTTTATATTAATTGAATTTTTATAAAGTATTTTTAAAATAGAAAAATTATAATATCATGTCTAACCTGTGTCTGTGCCTTAAATTTTCAATAATTGATGTATCTTGTGTTTGTGTCATGCTGTATTTGTGTCGTCGTGTTCGTATCAGTGATAGAAAGCTACATTAATTTTCATGCCATAAGATCCTTAATGTTAAAATGTTAAAAAGACAAAATATGGTGTCAAAATCTCAATGCATGAAGAATAGGTAAACTTTGATATGGAGTTATGGACAATCTTACAGCAAAAATTCACAAATAATTTTAAAAAATAAAAATAAAAAAAGTTGTATCATTCTCTCTCCAATCTCCACTTAGCTATTATTTTACATTATAAACCCTCCAATTTCATCAATTGCCAGCTAGTACATTAAAGCATTGCATTACAAATCTAAAATTGTCAAAATCTTAACATCTGATGCTAATGAAATGTTAAGATTTTACTATTTGTAATAATTTGGATTCCTTTATAGTATGGATCTTGTTTTGATTCACATAATGTTGATCACAGGTGTTTTAATGATTAGATTAGTGGTGGACTTTGACAGATTGATGTTTACATTTGGGGATTAGAGCATCTGATCACATTTAGAGCTTGATTAGTGCTAATTAAGTATGGACAAATCATTTTTAAAGCTGGGGGAGTGGGTTAAAATATTGGCATTTTGACCAAAACAATGCAGACTCAATCTTATATTGTCTTTTATGGTTTAAAATCCCTTAATTTCATATATTGCAATTGACTCTCAAGTATTTTGCAGAATTGTTGAGTAAGAAATAAAATTCAAAACAAAATAGAGGGAATTTTTTATTTTTTATTTGGTTTCAAGTTGATCGGAAACGAATCTTGATGCAAATTGAAGTAGAAAACTTTTAAAATTTTCACTATTGACTATTCAAATTCAGATTTAAACAAACTTATAGCTCAATTGATTGGCTTAACGAGTCAAACCTAACAATAAAAAAAGTGATTAAATTCGAGTCGAATTGAGCAAACATCAAACACTTAATGCATGGTTAAGAATTTGAGGCATTAATTAGATGACCAAATGATTTCTGAATTTTACATGTTACTAGTTAAATCAAGCATCTCAACTAGAGAAATTCAATGAGATGAAGAATTCTTAATTTGAATATCATTAATGCAATTAAATGTTGAAAAAACTATTTATGAACAAGAAAATCAATACGATATGTCTGAAGGAGTTTTTTTTTTTAATTTTAGTTATATTTATCTGCAATGCCACTCTCAAATAAATTATAGGCACCCATTTTTTACATGAAGAGGCTCTTAGCCTTAGATTCAAGAGAACTCATAAACAAGAGAGCTCATAGACATGAAAATTTTGAAAACTTCAACCAAGCACCACCACTAGACCACTTCTCAAACATCACCGTTGGTTCACCGCCCAACCACTATTGTAGAACCAATATTGTTAGACCACTATTGTTTGAAGATGCTTGTCATTGGACTACAATGTTGGACCATCACCATCATAACATTGTTGCATGAGCTATACCTCTTGACCTATGCCATTGGACTATCATTGCCTGATCTCCCTTGTTGGACAGCTATCACCTAGCCTCTATCATTAGGGCATGACCATCACTAAATCATCGTCGTCAGATTGTTGCCGCTCAACCTATACCTTCAGACCCCCACTGCCTAACATTTGTTGTCCGACCGTTGCTGCCCACCACCATTGTCCGATCACTTTTATTGGCCTCTATCGTTGAGCCACAACTATTTGATTTTTTCAATCAGATTGCCACCTCTAAATCAATATTATCAGACTATTATAGCTTGACCTCTGTTATCAGTTTGTGATCACCTGATCATCATTGCTGGGCAATCGTTATTCAATAACAACCATATGAACGCATCTCATCTCCTATCAACTCTGCAACATTTTTCACTAGTAGCTCATACTCTTACAATCCCACATTCTTCTCCAATTTAAGGACATAATTGGAGATGGAAATCTATGCAATCAACTTTCACGTAGTGAAATTATTTTAGCTTGACCAAGCCCTAAATTTTTTCCCCTTTCAAAAATTTCCCGTAAAAACTCGACGAAAATTTCTTTTACGAACTTTGTGTCATTTTCCCACAGCAACTCATAGTTCGATGATTCTGCCTTCTTCAATTTGAAGATAAGTGAATCTTTGTAGTTAATGATCACCTAGTAGTATTATTTCAATTAGATCATACTCCATTATTTTTCCCCTTTTCTAATTTTTCTTGTATAATATTTAGTGTTTCATGCACTCCATTATTTTATTTGTATGTATCGAATCTTCATACAAATTTAAGATGTAAAACTACATTAATAAAATATATACTTGTGTATCTCTCTATTGATAAGCTTAATGTAAATGATGTCTCACTCCACAATATATTTACACAAAAACCTACAATTAAGTAAATTAATCTACAAGTCTTACCAAACAGAATACTATAATATTGACTATAAGGTTAAATTATATACCTTAGTGATGAACAAGTAAGTGAAATAATAAAATATTTACTCAACCAAGAGCGGATACAATTGTAAATGTACAAAGAATGTAACTTTTTTACCGCTTCTTAAAATAATTTTTTGGTACTAAAAAACTAGCGCTATTTTAAGAAGCAGTAAGAAAGTTGTCCCAAACAAAATCTATGCTACAGAAAGCAAGACAAAAGGTTTCTTAGTAGATGTAAATGTAGCTGAACACTTGAATGAATGATTCATAGTTGCGTAGGGGTGTCAATATTTGACCCGACCCGAAAGTTTTGGATTCGGGTTGAAATGGGTAGGGTTCGGGTTAGGGATTTCGACCCATTTGTAAAACCGGGTCAGGTTTGGGTTGACCCGGAAACCCGAAATCAACCCGATTTGATCCATTTTTAATTAATGTAGGAGGGTTTTAAAAGATTATTATGAAATAAGTAAATGATATTTCAAAAAATTATAAATATTATTGCCCAAATTAAATTAAGCTTGATTTATTTTAAATTGATTGAAATAAATCTTATCTTAATTTGATTTAGATTTAAATAAATTGAATTAAATAAAAAAATTAGTAAAACATACTCGAAGTGGGTCAAGTTCGGGTTGACCTGGACCCGAATCGGGTCGGGTTCGGGTTCGGAAAACCGACTCGTTTGCAAAAATGGGTCGAATTCAGATCAGGTTGAACAATTTTGTATTGAATTCGAACTCAACCTGTGACCCAATTTGACAGCCCTAAAGTTGCGTAGAACTAGTCCGAAACACGTTAATATATGGCCCTTTTGTACTTATTCAGCCATGCATTACAATATTTCAATACGTATTATAATATTGAATGAAGACAAGCTGTCTTTATGGCTCATAAGCTTCATGACAAGAATCAGCTCATTCAAACTTCTCAATGTATATATTTATATGATTATATATTTGATTCTAATAAATCCAAATGGAGACATGTTTGATACAGTAGAAGAGCTGCCTGCAGCATTCCATTTGCAGTGCTTTCTTAATTTGCCTTCTCTATTCGGTCTTTTAGTATTATCAGTCACTTTATAAGGTCTATTAGGAATTTGTGATGGCCTCTTCCTTTTAAGATTTCATTGGGAGCAATTTTGTAAAAAAAATTTGACGTAAGAATTTGCTTTAGAAAGTAGTAAGAAAACTATCGTAAACGAAGTCTAAGATTTCGTTTGGGACGACTTTTTTACTCCTTCTTAAAGCAGCTTTCTAAAGCAAAAAATTAAAATTTTAAACTAAAATGTTATTTTAAAAAGCAGCAAGAAAACAGTCCCAAACGAAACCTAAATATCTTATTCTCATACTTTTATTTTCAATTTTCTTTTCGTTCTCTTATCTTAATTAATTTTGGTTGCTAGGAATTCCCTTTGATGTTAATTGTATGATATTTTTTTGCTAGTATATAGGGATCACAATTAATATAAGCATGCATCAACTCCATTATTTAATTCATCATGATTAAATTTTAATCAGAATATCCTAATTAAAAAATTCTCCAATTATTATTTACTTGCAACTAGGACAAAAGTGGAATAAGAAGTAATTTAATTAATTCTTAGATAACTCCTAGAGAGAATTCAAGAACACAAATTTTAATGAAATATAGAGATTGAAATTCCATACGGAATTCCTTTAAAAAATTCCTGCTAGAAAGTGTTCATCACATAAGATTATTAAAGTAGATTTGTTCTCATGTGAACATAAGTTTCTATATATTATTGATATGGTAATAACACAAATTTCTATGAACAAGAGAATGGTGAGAGGAATACTTACATAGACTTCTATAACGAATATTTTATAGATAATTAACTGATAATCATTTTTCATTATCATTATCTTAATTAATTCTATGCAAATCATCATCATAATCATTATAATTAACTTTATTTTTATCATATTTTCTTAAATTTAACTTCTGAATTAATCCACTAATCCAAATTTTATAAAAGCCTCAGCGACGAGGCTACTGCGACAAATCAGCGACCCAAATATTTTTGGTCGCTATTTGCTTTAGCGTCAAAATTAACATTTTTAGCGACCAATTTTGTTGGTCACTAATTATCTATTTTCTTGTAGCTCATTATCATTATGACAAACTTTATTTTATCTATTATCTTAATTTTATACTTCTGATTAATCCTCTAATATTAATTTTATCTCTAGCTTATTATGATTTTATTTGGGACAGTTTTGGTCACAATTTCTTGAAAAATTATTCTGTGCGGAATCCGGACGAAGCTCTCTGTCAGGACTCCAATTAAATCGTGACACCTGATTTGTACACGTGAATACTCATTTCTATTTCATTTTTTATTTTTTTTTTACCAGCCTAACTGACCCAGCACAAAAATTTCTTGTTCAAATTTAGAGTTTAGAATTGACGTTATTTTCTTAAATGGAATACCCACGAAAGTTTCATAATTTTTAGGATTTTAGCTCTATAAACTTTTCATAGCTGTTGAAAAAGAAGAAACGATGAAAAGCCGATGAAGATGAAGACTGATTTGAAGAAAGCAATAAGAAAATTATCCCAAATAAAATTTATATTACAAGCGATCGATTTATATGCCATCAAACTAGGAGGTGAAGCAGCAATCGAGGAAAGTTTTTTTATTGTAAAATGATAAGATTATTGTTAGTATATAGATACAATTGTCTGGTATTTGGAATCTGAAAGGGAAAGCAAACAAGAATTTGAGGGCCTACTGATAACAATTCTATCGGCATATTATGCAACTGATATATTTCTTTTTCCTCCTGAGGGCTCCCAACGTAGTTTGAATAAAAGAAGATGGGCTACTGATATATAGCACTGACACGTCACGTCTATGAGAGCTTGCTCAATGCTATAAGCAAAGAAGACAAATAAATAAACTAGAGAACAAAAGGTAGCTGAACCACAGCTTATATCTCATGAAAAGAAATATATTTATTTTACTAAGTACTCAACTACTCATAGAGTCATAGTGTGAGTACTGGAAAGCATAGTCTGGATTAATGATAATAGTGAAAGTAATTATCATTATGGATTTTAATGTTAATTGATGTGTGTCTTAGCTCTTAATTTTAGTGATTATCCTATAATTTTTCAAATTTAGTTCATGGAATTATGACTAATTTCTTTAGAGGTTTTGGCTATAATTAAACTCGAATTAAACAAAATCTATTGATAGATACATCTTGATTCAAGTCGATAATCTCATTGTATTTTAATTAATTTTTTGTTACTAAGAATTCAACATAATTTTAAGACTCTTCTCTCCCCCCTCTTTCTCTCCCTCTCTCTCTCTCTCTCTATATATATATATATATAGAGAGAGAGAGAGAGAGAGAGATAAAGAGAGAGGAGATATATATTAAAAAAGAGAGAGAGAGGAGATATATGCTACACTTTTTTTTTTAAAGAAACATATAAGTTTTACTCAATAAAAGAAGACGCATCTAATGACAAGCCTATGATAGAGAAAATGCCAAAAAACGGTGAATACGACAAGCAAGTCGGACTCAGGAAATGGCAGTTATCTGCAACCACCTAGCTACGAGGTCAGGCCATCCATTGGGGTAGCAGACCACCCGTCAACAAGAGAAAATTACGAAATAATCATCAACCCACAAACCAAAAAGAGCCACCAAGGTTGCCAGCAAGCCACGACAAACCGGGGGAGTAGAAGGCAGCCTCATCATTGTCCATAAACAACCAAAGAATCGACACCCTTAACAAAGCCAACCCCAAAAAAATCATCACCATGAAAGCCGTCGGCAATAGACACACCCAAGGCCACAATATTCCCATAGGACCAAAAAATCAATAAAAAACCCAACCGAAAACCCCCCAAAACAATACCACCCATCCACGAAGCCAAACAACCAAATCCACAACAATTGAGCGAAAATATTCACAACCACTATTCTTGTTTTTCTCGCCATACGAGAAATGTGTTTAATTAAGAATAGGGTAAGAATAGGAGAGGCATTAAGCTAAAATGTTTAAGACTTATTTTAATATCATTAAAATTTTCAAGAATAACTTATTGAATATATTTTAAAATAGATGTAATTCATAATTACAATACTTTATTAATTTTAATTAATAAAAATATAAATTCTCCCATATAGAACACTAATATTAAAACAAATTTAATTGTTTTTAAGTTCATCCTAATCAATTTATATTATTATATCTTAACATATATTTTTTTTCAAGTAATATAATCATAGGTGCCAGCTAAAATCTTAAAAATCATTATCCATTTTTTTTAATCCAATAAGTAAATTTAATTCTAAACTCAACACATTCTGTATATACAAAATCTCAAACTGAAAACTTGTTGATTGCATTTAAATTTATATTTGGGTACCTAACAATAAAAAATAAAACGCAATTAATTCCCAAACAAGAACAAGACGTCGACCAGCTACTCGCTTCGATGGAAGAAACCAACATTCAGCTGAAGAAGACGAAGAAGACGACGAAGAAGAAGAAGAAGAAATATGAGGAGGTCTCATGATGTGGCCGACGAAGGAACCCAAGCAGTAGCAAAAGCCACGTCATGTCCTTTCCACGTAAGCACCAAATCATCGTCGTCTCTCTTCATCCCCCACCCCGCCGAATGCTCGTCGAGCATACTCTTCACCTCCATCGCCGCCTCCTCCCCAAACCCAATCCCCACAAACCCCGCCGCCCTCATCCTCTGCCCCCACCTTCCCTTCGGCTCCAACCTCTCCACTCTCTGCACTCCTTCCTGCGCTATTACATTCTCAATCTTCCAACAAACCGCTGCCTCGTACTTCCGCCTCTGCTCGCTCCCCGCCGGCAGGAACGTTTCCACCGCATCGAACGGTATCCACATGTAGTTGAACGCTGCGCGCAGCCTCGTTACGACGTCGGAGGATGTAAAGTCGGCTTCTTCGTCGACGAGCACGACGAGCGATGGGTCCAGTGAGCGAAGAGACTTGGCGAACACCGTTCGCGGTGATAGAATCCCGCCGGCTGATTCGTCGGGGATGCGGTGCGGCATCATGTGGCAGTTTATTACCAGGGCTTCGCCGGCGTTGTTGCAGTTGGCTCTGTTTGGTTTGAAAGATTTCGTTAGAACAGCGAAACGAAAGCTCAATGACCAAGGATTTGAATCAAAATTTAATTTTCTTTTCTTAAAATTTTACAAATTCATTGAAAAAGAAAAATTTTAATGAAAAAAATTGTGGTATATCTTGATACGCATAAAATTATTTTCATATTGTTTCTGTTATAATCTGTATTAGAACATCTTCTATAATTTTTTATGTTTTTTATTATGAGGTTGGTGAAAAATCAAAATTTATTTATTTTTTATTTTTTATAATTGAATTGAGAAATTTTAACCAAAAATAAAATAAAATGTATTTTTCACACATTTTAATGATCATTTTATTTCAATTTTTGAAAAAAAAAATAAACAATTTTTAAATAAAATAAATTAATCTTGTTGAGTTTCAAAATTTTATTTTGAAATGCATATGATATAAAAATTAATTAATTAATTAATTTAAATCAAATCAAATATTTAAAAAATCATTTTTATTAAATTTTTTTTAACATATATCTTCCAATTTTTATCCAAATAAAATTACAAGTTTTGAAGGATTTTAAAAATAATTATCCAACAATCATTATTAAAACAAAATAATAAAATAAAATAAAATTGTGAACTAATCAACAGCCATATGCATTTTACCCAAGGTACTCAAGGAGGGAATGGAAGCCGTCGGCCGGCGTAGAAGGAACAACTCGGAAGTCCATCCCGACGTTGCGGGATCGCGCGAAATTAACGAGCCTGGAGCCCAGCTCGTCCAGTGATATATCAAGCGTCGGCGGCGGCGAAGTTGACGCCGGCGTGCTCGGTAAGGTAAGTCGAAGAAAAGGAGGACCTTCAGGCCGCGACGCTAAAGCGTCTATAAGCGTCGGAATTTGCATACAGTGAGTCGTAGTCAAATCGACCAGATGCAGAACAGGAAATCCATCAGCCGCATCGGCAATTGCAGAGTTAGCCGCAGAGAAGCCAAAGCGATGCCATGGAGTCAGGTCAATGAAGCCAGCGAGGGATATAGCTGAGAGACGGAGAGGGAACTGTGGGTGGTGGGGTGTCGCCGGAGCGGATATGGAAGAGCCGGAGCGAGATGCGCGGAGGAGCAGAGCGCGGAGGAAAGCAGAGGTAAGCCTTTGGTTGGAATCACCGTCAGGAGGGGCGATGTTGTGGAGAACCCAAAGGAGCTGTTGTGCGAGAGTGGCGTCGTTGGCTTCGATGGCGTGCGCGCAGTGGACGAGCAGCTGCTCCATACACGCCGCGTTGTTGAAGCTTCCGAGCGATTTGGCGGAGTTCGGGAAATCCGGCCATGGGCGGGTTGGGTAGAGAGGCGGAGGAGGAGGGTTTTCGGTGAACTGCATCATGCGCGCGCGAGCGAAGCTTTCGATCGGATCGAAGGACGGAAGGAGAAATAGAGGGAGGCGGAGGATTCGAAAGGGGAGGAGTGCGCGGCTTTGACTAATTATATCTGGAGGGAATTGCAGCGCTGGAGCTGCACTGTAATGTTGAATTGACTATTTTTTTTTTCCAAACCAAATTTGTATTATGTTTTTGTAAAAGATTTAACTTTGATTTAAAGATAATTAAGAAATGATTATGTTATGATTAAGATCTTTAAAATTTTATTGATATTTAAGGAAAATTCAGATGGTTAAATATATGGAGGTTAAGTAGGGTTGTTATTTAATTAAAATAATTTTATTTATAATATATATTGTCTTAATAAAATTTTAGATTGATTGGTGCTTAATTAGTAGAGTAATTAATGTTAAAATTTTTAAATAAGATAATTAAAATGATTATTTAAAGTTGGTGTGATTGAAATATTAACTATTAAACTTTATTTTGACTAAATTTGTCTTTATAAATTCAAACTTATTTAATGGTTAGTGGCATATAGAGTACTTGAGCTCATCTTAATAATTGTCTACTCTATCCATGAAAACTTTTTTGTTCTCCTTTATCTGTTGAGTTCAATGGTTTTTTTTTAAGATTTTATTATAATTATGGAGGAATCTAATGAGGATTCAGACAAATAGAGTTTTGCTTAAAAAAATTGTAGCATTGTATTTTGGATTTATCAAGTTGTTTTCCGAGCAATGACCTTCTATTTATAAAAGAGGATTGAGATCGATATTATTGAATGAGCCGCTTAAATAAAAAAATAAGAAAGGTAAATAATAATATTGAATATAGTTAGTAATTTGGGGATTGAGAACTCTTGAATCATTTTAAATTTGGAATGTTTATTTTGAACGAAATATTTTGATGAGAAATCTTAGCTGACTTTGCAAGAATTCTGAGTTGGTGTAAATTTGAGTTATGTGCAAGTTTAGTAGTTTGGTAAGAGGGCGAATTAGGGCTACCTCTTGGATGATTTTACGAAAGCCAGCTCTAGGCGACTCAGGGTTTTGGAAAATATTGAGTTTGTTCATGACTAATAACTTAATGAATCTGAATCAAACCTCTATGATCATTTGATTAAACTATCTTCAAATCATTATCATCTCACATCTACCTTTTTTTTTTTTTTTTTTTAAAACCCACCCCTGGGGCTACGCGGTTTTTTTTTTTTTTTTTGCTAAAACGCACACATGGGTCTACGCGTTTCATAAGAGAAGAAAGAACAAGTCCTTAGAGGATCAAAAGCTCACTAAAAATATAGTCTTGAAGAAAAACCTATAAGCTAATGATCCAATTAAATACAATCAAACATACAGGAAAATAAAGGAATAACACCATCACAAAATGAGGAACTAATCCCATAATAGGAAGGATATTAGAAACCCAGCAAGCATCAACTGATAACAAGACAAAAACAGCAACAAAAACCTCACAAAAAATGAAAACACGACACTACTAGTCAGTTGGGCTCAGTCAACGACAATGTTAACTACAATCACCCAAACGGAAGGTAGGGACCATCTAGAGGAGGAAACAAGCAACAACTCACACCATCATAAGGACAAACATAGCCTCACATCCCAAACAAAAGGCCACTAAGTAAGATACAAAGCACACCATTAGTAGTTGCAAACAAGCCAAGCCGATCAGATTGAGAGTAAACCGCCTCATCATTCTCTAGCCCCTAAAACCTCCAGCACCACAATCCAATCCAACGAAAGCCAACCCAAACAACCAAAAAAGAAAAACAAGCATCAAGAAGCTGCAGCAACCCACCAACTACAAAACCAGGAGGAGAAGGATTACTTCTTCTTAATTTTTCTCCTTCCACATTTGCTTCCAGTATTAAAAAAGTTAAACCGGTTTTCGTCATAATCCAATTTAATTATCAAAATTTTGTTTCCTTTTATGGCAAAACTTAGACTTGTGGCGCCTCACTTCTTGAGGATGTAGGTCATCAATAGAGACCCAATATATATAAGGTCAGAGACGAATTGATGTACACTGCTTGCCGTGTTAATCAATTAATTAGGCTTAGCTAATCTATACAAATTCAGCTTCTAGTTAATTAATCAATACTAAATTTCTTCCTAAGCCCTTTTTATTTTCTTTGTACAAAAAAAAAACGATATCTTCAATGAAGAAACTTTAGTTGTGTAAGGTAATCCCTCATTGAACATTTCAATATGAATGAATAACGTGGTAATTATGATAATTAATAAAGTATAATTATTGGTTAATCCAAATTCTAAACAAGTATTCATTAATTATTTTATCGTGATATTTTATTTACTCTCCCGGCCGACAATTGCCTTCATTTAACAAATAAATAAAAGGACTTTTTTTTTTAATGAAGAAAACATATAAAAAGACCAAATCAAGAGTGCCTTTCGATAGCCTGACGATCAGCATTGCTTGTGTCATTTGGAACTTGAGAGGGTCTCGTTGAGATCATGCACAAGTAAAATAAGGATTTTTTTTCCTTTTTTAAAGTAAGTTTAAAAAGAAAATAAAATATATGTTATAATGTTTTTTTCTTTTTGTATTGAAAATAGATTAATCTGTTTTAAAATTTTAGAAAATAAAATTTTAGATGTTTTGTAAATTTTCAAAATAATTTACTTTTTTAAAATTTTATAAAACATTGTTGAGTCCTAGAATATTCGCTAGTGTAGAGAGATATAAGATTTAACATTCTAACTTTGTACAAAGATCTAGCACACAGAGAAAAAGAGAGAGGTGTAAGAGTAAAAAATGACACAACGGGGTGTGGCCAAGTTGAAATGAATCCACTAGTCTTTATTGTTGATTATAAATGATGCACTACCTTAGCGGTAGGCTTTGGCTCAATGTAAATTAATTATATATAACACATTAGAAAGTTGGGGTAGGAAGAATCCCTTGATATGAAAGCTATTCTCAAGAGACTGTTGACTTGTTCGTTCGGCCGGTAGGACTGTAGTCGGGCGATGCTGGTCGGAGGGACTGTAGTCGGACGACAGTGATTAGAGGGATCATAGTCGGGTGACGATGGTCGGAGGGATCTTAGTCGGACAACAGTTGTTAAAATGAACGATGTCTAGCGACGGTGGTTGATTGGACCGTAGTCAATAAATGACTATGGTCGATGGGCGACGGTGGTCGGAGGGAACGTAGTTGATTGACGATGGTGATCAGAGTGGCCTGTCAATGGTAGCTGGACGGGGGTTCGGCTGTGAGCGACATAAGGGAAGTGGTCTAGAGTTGGTCGGTAGCTAGGCGATGTACTAACAATGGGCGGTGGTTGACGAATGTTCACTAATGGTGGTGCTCGGGTAGAACTCTAGAATCCTTAACGTTTTAGAATTCACTCCAATCTCCAGCCAACGTGCCAATTTAAAATATATAATTAATTTTCTTTTTAATTATTTTAAATGGAAATTTATTATTTTTGGACAAAAAGAATATGAAAAAATTCAAAAAAAATCCCAAAATTTTAGATTTTTTTTCTTTAACTCTCTCTTGAAAAATCTATAAATATCCCCCTTAGGGGTTAGTGAGAGAGTATAACAAGTTGGAGGTCTTTGGTGTCGTTCAAGATTGACGGCGATCAAGATCTAATACTATCTTGGCCATTTTCTCCAGTTCTCTCTCGGTGAGGGAAAATTGTTCAGCAAGAGTTTAAATACCATCAAAGGCGGCGATCAAGTGTGCAGCTGATGGTAGTTTGGCGAAGGGCCAATGATGGCTTCCATGAGGTAAAGGGTCAATGACGGTGGTCGAGAGGTAGAGGGCTAACCGTGGTGGTCACATGGAGGGTCGGTGATAACTATGATCAAGTTGCATTTTATTGAAGTAATATGCATCCATGCGGATGGGGGTAAATAGTGAATAGTGTGCCATAGCAGTAGTCTAATCATACTCTAATGGTGCCGACTGACTGGAGGCCTGATGGTGACAGGAATCTGCTTTTTTATTGAAGAGGGGATTAAAGAGATATTATTCAAAGTGTTGAATGAAAGAGGTCAAGAGAAATCCACCAATGATGTTTAACCTATCAGAGGTTGCTTGCCAAAGCATTGCTTGATGGTGTTAACTAGTCAAGATAAATCTATTATAGATGTTTGACATATCAGAGAATGTTTGGTATAATATTTCCCAATAATGTAAACCTTTGCAATAGAGGTTGTAAGAAATAAACTAAGGATATTTGACATATTTAAGGCTGTTTGCAAAAGCATTTTCTTAATAAAGTTAACATATATAAAATAGATCGAGAGAAATCCACCAAAGATATTTAACGTATCAGAGATTGTTTGTCAAAGCGTTACTTGATAACATTAACTTGTATTGAAAAGGTCGAGCGAATCTACTAAGGATGTTTAATCTATCAGTTATTATTTGTCATAGCATTGCTCAATGATGTTAACCTATGTAGAAGAGGTTGAGGTAAATATGTTAAGAATGTTTGATTCATCCAAGATTATTTGCCAAAACATTACTTGATGGACGTAACATGCATGAAAAATGTCAAAAATATTCATCGATGATATTTGACCTATTTGAGATTGTTTATTAGAGCATTTTTTTTTTTGATGTTAAACTGTGTGAAAGAGAGCATAATCGAATCACCCGGGACCTATTATACCTTTATTTTGTGTGTGTGTGTGGGGGGGGGTGTCACGACCCAACCCAGTGGGGGGGGGGGGGGGGGGCTTAAATGCTGCGTGTATCCCAAATAGAATGTGAATATTAGTATGTCTTTAGACAGTTGGTGCCTTTTTGAGGTTGAGATTGTGACCTTGCCTCTTCAAGAGTAAAAGTCTAGTTGGTGACTGTTTAGAGTTTATGATTAACTTAAAGCCTTCTTATATTTTTAAGAAGCTTTAAGAAAAATGATTACCAATGATTTTTTTTTTTACCCAGAAGAAATTTGGGTGGACTGACTTGGCCACAACTATATTTAAGATTGCAACCAAGGTTGCCCCCAGTACA